ACCCGTCCTGGGATCATTTGCGGACCCGTACAGGACGCATCGCTTCTCTGTGACTGAGTTTCGCGCCTAAGCGCTCGTCAGACAGAACTTTATTCAATGAAGAACATACTTCGTTATAAACAAATTAGATGAGTAGCTAATTGATTCACTCGTTTGATGATCTGATCTACGTGTTAAATAAAAATTCTATCGAGCTATTTCTTGGCGGTTTGTGAAATTTGCTAGGTGAAACCTATTCTCGTGGCGGCATTTAGAAATGAGTTGTGTTCTTTTCTTTAGTGAAGACAGTTTCTTAGCTCTAAGTAAAGTTTTTTATTTCTGTGAGGCACAAGTGGCACCGCGTGCTTTTGTTTCTGTAGGCCGGGGTGGTCGCTAAAATACTCCAGTTAATTGTAAAAGTTGGTGTTGTTGTCGTTGAGTGCCCAGATATGTTTTGATAGTTCCGTGCTGTTTGAATAGTTTCTGTTCCGAAAAGAAAGTTTTTGTTGCGTGTAAAGTTGTTTACAAGTTCCTTCTGTTAGTGCTATGCAATTCTTTTCGGTTGTATCACTTTCTGTTGTTACGTTGGCGTTGTAGACGACGCTTGAAGTGAGGTAGTTGTTCTTCAGATGGCAGTAGTTTTTTTTTTCCTGCTGTTACACTTGTTTTCCGTAGAGGTTGTTTCGAGGATTTTTCAGTTGTGTTTCTTAATTATGGTTTGCAGGTTGTCTGTGCAGCTATAACTAACTTTTATGTCGTTTTTGTTGAAAATCCTGTTGTACCGGTGATTTTTCGGAAAACGTTTACTGACGAGGTTCAGAAACTCTCTGCCGATGTTTGTTTGTACGTTCAGGCTGTAATCCGCCTTCCCTCGCTCCTTCCCTCCCTCGCTCCTTCCCTCCCTCACTCCTTTCTAATCTGTTGGACACTTAATTTGTTTATTAAACCTGTTTTCCCCTGTCTCCCCTACTAGGTTTGACTTTGTACCCTACCTTGTGCAATTTTCTTTTATAACATAGCCTTACAAAGCTCGCGCTCTGATTGGCTAATATGCTCGATCCATTCGCCCGTGGGGTGCACGCTTACATCAGATTGTTTTGTTTTTACAAAGACACTCAGAAGACCAAAAAAACAAAAAAACTGGTCTGTATCAATCTTTCGAGGTGAGTAATAAACAGCAGCAGTTTTAGAAAGTGTGTTTCAGCGTTTAGCGATAATAAAATTCTTCACAATCGTTCACTCCAAAACCTTTTAGGTTTGGGAAGCCATTTAAATGCTTCCGGCGAGCAAAACTGTACCTGTGAGTTATACAAAATTTCTTTCCTATAAGCCTCCGCTATCTGTTCTTTTACTGTACTAAATAAAGAAAGTAACAGAGATGAATTCTTTTGAGCCATTCACGTATTCAATTTCAGTCTGGCGCTCAGAGAAAGCTATATAAACACCGCTCGAAAACACGACGATTGGTCAGCTGGAGCACAATCTGAGGCGATTTTACGCCGAAGCACGAACTTAGAAAGGGGAGCGATACAGTAAA